TGTGTCGCAGAAATAAGGCCAACGGGGTGAAACCGAGCACTGTCCACATGTCATGCACACCTCAAGCTGCCAAGGTGAGAGCTCAACACAGATTAAAGTGGCACATTTCTGGTGTGTTCTAATCTAAATATGACCGAGTGTGAGGAAACTACAATGAATATGGAACGCATATTTAACTCTTTTAATCAGTTCTATCTTAAAGGTCTGCAGGTTAAATATGATGCTGTAAATGGAACATGCCCTTAATAGGATTTAACTAAAACATCTTGAATTTGTTACCAGTTTCAAAATACTCTTCCTGACATGCTTCCTCCATCAGTATTAACATCCCCGCGATTGCTGTAGAAGAAACTCTTTCATGTGTTAAACACACTAACAGAGCTTCTTCTTTCATGTTTTCTTTGTTAAGGCCGTCAGCAACAAGGAGCAGCACAGTATTTCATACACACTGTCTCGCGCACAGACGGTGGTGGTGGAGTACACTCATGACAGCAACACAGACATGTTCCAGGTGTGTAGTTTGAAAAGCATACACCCTACATGGATATTAAACCTTGTGATTTTCAGTATTATCTGAACACTGGATGAATAACATTGTTACGTGTCAGTTTTCTTTATTAAAGTGGTGTTTACCACAAAATCTGTTCTGTAGGTAACTTAATGAACACCACTGAAAACAAGCAAGACACGAGCACTTGTTTCTGTGTAATTACAGATTGGCCGTTCTACAGAGAGTCCCATTGACTTTGTGGTTACGGATACTGTACCTGGAGGTCAGAACCAAGCTGACAGTCAGACACTTCAGAGCACCATCTCCCGCTTTGCCTGCCGCATCATCTGCCAAAGAAACCCACCTTACTCTGCACGGATTTACGCCGCAGGCTTTGACACGTCTAAAAACATCTTCCTCGGGGTAGAACGCACAAACTGCTCATTTCCTGTGATAACATTTCTTCACTTTGAATGTGCTAAACATACATTTGACCTCTTCATAGGAGAAGGCAGCCAAGTGGAGAATGCAGGACGGGCAGATGGACGCACTGACGACAAACGGAGTTCTCGTGATGCATCCTCGCCACGGCTTCTGCCAGGACTCCAAACCTGGTCAATGGAGGGAAATCTCAGTTTGTGGGAATGTTTTTACGCTGCGGGAGACCAGATCAGCTCAGCAGAGGGGGAATATGGTGAGCGACTCCTGTTTTCTCTCACACACCACACACACAGTTGTGTTTTCATATTCTCGTGGGAACATCTAATTGATATGCTTTCCCTAGCTGCTTACCCTAATCCTAACCTAACTGTAACCCTGACACTAAAACCACATTTTGAGACTCAAAAATGTCTTCAAACACGTGGGGGGAGGGAATTTGTCCCCATAAGGGCTGTTGGTCCCCACAAGTATAGTAAACTTACAATCTTTGGTCCCCACAAAGACATGCAAACCTGTTACAGACATGCGCAAGGCCCAGGTCATTAATCCCAGGTCATTAATCCCAGGTCATTTATCCCCCCTCCAAGGTGGAATCTGAGTCCAACGAGCTGGTGGATGGGTCTCTGATCGACCTGTGTGGTGCCACCCTGCTGTGGCGCACGGCCGAAGGACTGTCCCTCACTCCCACAGTCAAACACCTGGAGGCCCTGCGGCAGGAGCTGAATGCCGGGCGGCCACAGTGTCCCGTGGGCTTCAACACACTGGCCTTCCCCAGCCTGCGTCGCAAGGACGTCCTGGATGAGAAGCAGCCATGGGCATACCTGCGCTGCGGCCATGTGCATGGCTACCACGGCTGGGGAGGGCGCTGCGATCCTGAGGTCGAAGCAGAGTGTCAGGAGCGGGAGTGCCCCATGTGCCGTGCGAGGGGCCCTTATGTGCCACTGTGGCTTGGCTGCGAGCCGGGGTTCTACGTAGATGCGGAGTCCCCTACCCACGCCTTTGTCCCCTGTGGCCATGTTTGCTCAGAAAAAACAACTGTGTACTGGAGCCAGATCCCGCTGCCACATGGCACACATGCCTTCCACGCCGCGTGCCCGTTCTGCATCCAGCCGCTGAGCAGGGAGACCGGCTGTGTCAAACTGATCTTCCAAAGCCCGCTGGATTAGGAACGACTCTTGACTCTTTATCTGAAGCCTTAATCAACAAAAGAGGGATGCAACTATTTACAGTTTGGGAATTTTCATAACTTAATTTAACTTAATTTAGTGTTGTGTTTTGTTTTTTTTAAGTGCATTTATTGGGTTGATTCTTACCTTTTATACGGTTATATGGTTCAGGCACCAAAAAGGTGAAGGTTCTTCCCCAGATACAGCTGTCTGGAAAAGCTGTGATGATCTTTAACTTACTTACACTTAATTTATTCTTTTACCTTTTTAATGTAATTGTGTCCTATGAGTCAGTGCAACATTTCCCTGCATCTCTCTATAGCTGATTACCGTCTCATACTGCATTAATGAGCTGATAACAAGATCGAGTTAAGAGTTGTGTGCAGATGTTGGTCTGGGAGCTTTTTCAGGGGAAACACTGGATTTTAGATTTGTTTTTAAATATTTTTTTCTTACTTGGAGTGTAAGAATACATTTTGATTTTTTGGGGGGATTGTTTTTTAAACTCCAAAAGTAAGTGACCTCTTTTTTTTTTTTAATGCAAACTCTGAACCCAAGCTAGCAAAACTGTATCTGGGAAACTTTTTAAGCTGCTCTCCTGTGACTTGAAACATCTATAAGTTTATACATTTTTCAAATAAAGAGATGAATGACTTCAAATCAGCGATCATTGTTTTAACAATTTTTTACAAGCAATAAATATAGACTTACTTACAGACCTGGGTCTGTAAGGAAATAGTTATATTTATACTATTTATAAGGAAATAGTTATATTTCCTTACAGACCCAGGTAGCTCAGCAGCTCTGTATTCAGCATTTGTCCAATATCTTGAGGCCAAACGTGTCACTTTAAATTCATCATGTGCTTCATATTTTCTTATGTTTTATTCTGATTGTAAAGATTCTTGGACCTCTTTCTTGTACCTTTCTCTAAACTTTATTTTTGTCCCTGATGAGTTTTAAGAAACATTATCCAAGTGTCTTTATTGTTATTTTTTTGTTTTGACTCATCGTGCAAGAAATTAACAGCATCATCAACCAAAACCGTGATGAGAGGGAATGTTAGTCTGAAAGCATCAAAGCAGATGCTGATACGTTCACTCTGACTCATTTCCTGTGAACCAGGTATTCATTATATTTTGTCACTAGCCTGTTTTTAAAGTGTGTCACCTTCTTGGTTATGCAGTCATGCTGTACACTTTTCTTTTTTTCTTTTTTCTTTTTTTTTTTTTGTACCGATAGCGAACAATAAAAACAAGGCTCCGATTTATGTGACTGTGTGTTTACTGTACATATACAACCAGAGTATTCATATAAGAGTAGTGGAAGTTAGATTTTAAATGAGTCTATCTATATATCAAGATATAGATATATATACACACACAAAA